ATTCCAGTAATAAGTTCCAGCCTTATTTACCAGACATTTCCATCTTTTCCAGGGTAGGTTTCACTTATCCTTCCAATAGGTCATGATGCTCGAGGATATTGGGGGTCGACCACCATCACAACCTTCCCGGAATCCATGTTCTCCTTGTTTGTCTTCCATTTTTGTCTGGTTTGAAGATTCGGAAGGTAATGGCGAATGAAGGCTGTCCAGAAATGATCAGCTAGGATCTGACTGTGACGCCACTTCCTCCTGCCCAGGAGCTCACTGTCACAGTAGATTGCCTGAGGAAGAGAGGAGTCGGGCCGCCCCATCAACAACATATTTGGTGTAACTGGGTCTGGATCAGCAAGGTTAGAAGAGACATATCCAAGGGGTTTTGAATTCAGAATACCTTCCACTTCAATCAGGACGGTGTGAAGGACTGTTTCTGTGGTTGGTTGGTTCCCTAATGCAACATGAAGGGCCTGTTTTATTGATCTTATTTCCCTTTCCCAGCTACCGCCAAAATGTGGGGAACATGGAGGATTAAACTGGAAGTGGACTTGTGTGTTGGCTAATTGCTGCTTCAAGTCCGGTGCCATAGCCTGGAAGGCATTTTGTAGCTCTGCATTACCCCCTTTGAAATGAGTCCCGCAGTCAGACAATATTTCATGGGGTTTACCTCTGCGTGAGACGAATCTTCTGAAGGCCATTAAGAATGTATCTGTGTCCATACTGTCAAGAAGCTCAAGATGTATGCAGCGTGTTGTTAAGCATTTGAAAAGCAAGCCCCATCTTTTCTCTGTGCGGCGGCCAACCTTTACTGTGAAAGGCCCAAAGCAGTCCATGCCAGTGGACCAGAAGTGGGGTTTAAAAAGTCTTAGACGGGCTGGAGGAAGGTCTGCCATCTTGGGAATTATAGGATTGGCTCTCCATCTCTGACAGTCTGGACACTGATGTTGATGCTGGCGAATGGCTTGGCGACCACGAAGAATCCAGTACCTGCGTCTCATTTCCCCAAGTACCCGCTCAGGGCCTGGGTGGAGAAGTTTCTCGTCATAATGCTTGATATTATTGGATGGATACTGTCCTGGGTAAGGTTCTCTACTCTTCGAAGTCGACCACCTACTCTGATGAGCCCAAGAGCAGGGTCATAATCAGGAGACAAAGATAGGAGTTTACTACTCTTTGGAATTGATTTATTTGCTTTGAGGGCATTGAATTCTTCAGGGAAGCTCTCTGCTTGGGCCCTTTGAAGAAGATGTCTCTCTGAGTCTGTATAGCTTTGGGCTATGTTTGAAATGTTGTCTGCCGCCCCATAGAGCAGATTCCTGGTATCGTTGACGAGGTCGTCCCAGGTACGGTACTTGTTTGGGTCGGGAGTTTTTGTGTCCATAGTAGGGATGTGCATCTCCATCACTGAGGCCGATGCGATGCGCATCTCGATACGTTGCCACGATACGATACATTAACGATACATTTGAAACACCAGGCGATGCGATACGATACGATTCACCCCTGTTGCGATACAGTTCGATACGATTTGATTCAACATTATGCGATTCGGGGCGATACGATGCGATTCAACACGATGCAAAAATAATGATACTTCAATATGGTACGACAGAGGATTTTTGTTTTATTCCTTATATGCAGCAAATCATACATTAACAAAAAAGTGCTTTACATATTTGGTACTGCACATCCCATCATGCCGTTCATTTTTGTACCTTTAAAAGCTCTCCAGAGTACAGTACAATTGTATAACACCTCACAGTTAAACAATGTAAGGATGCATTGCTCATGATTAACAATGTGCAAATAACAGCTACCATAGAGCAATGCCCATACAGCTGCCGAGCCTGATGTGCTTAACACTCAGAGGCTAACTCACCAGTGAGCAGAAAGCAGTGGTTTCTATCTGAACAATAAAGAAAATAACCTTTCACAAACAGGTATTTCATAACTGCTTACAGAAAGGAAGACAATGTCGAGGTTAACTTGGTGCGTACGGGAGAACAGGAGTAACCCGAGTCTGCTCACGGGTAGAGTTAGTGTCGGTTATCTAGGGTTAAAGCGTAACCCGGGGGCCACCGGGTGACCGGTCATTGTGTTGCTTCCGAATTCCTACCCGGGGAGGTTCCAGGGTCCGGGTCGAAATTGGTTTTAGGTTTTTGGGTTGTCTGAGAAGGTAAGTGTGACTGG